GAAATAATACATAAGAATTATTCTTTAAACATTCTTTTATTATAGTATCAATAGCCAAACACTGATATCCTCTACAATATAAGAATCAATGCTTTTTTTCATTGAATATTTCTGATGGCTTCTTCAGACAGAGAAACATGATTCTGGAACTTCCGCTGCTTCCAAGAGTTATATTTCTAGTACTGCCGGATTTGTGACCAAGTCAGTATATTTAGCGCTGTCATTAATCTTTCTGTTGTTACTAAGGATAGTGATTGGATAATTGATTCAGGTGCTACTGATCATATGACTTGTGATCATCATATATTTACTAATTTTTCCTCTAATTGTTCTAAAATTGTTATTATTAATGCCAATGTGGTCTCATCTCCTATTGAAGGTATAGGTACCATATCTATATCACCCTCCTTATCGATTCTTGATGTTTTATTTGTTCCTACATTAAACTGTAATCTTATCTCCGTCAGCAAGTTAACCAAATCACATTCTTGTGTTGCCCTGTTTTACCCAACCCATTGTCTTTTCAAAACATTCATTCCAAGGAGAAGATTGCTAGTGGTAGAGAGAGTGAAGGACTGTATTATCTTGAAAATGTCTCACAATCAAACCATAAAAGAGGGTTGGTTTGTCTTGCGAACGATCACATACAAGATAAAAACAAAAAAGAAATTTGGTTGTGGCATAGACGGTTGGGACATCCCTCTTTTGGTTATTTAGAAAAATTATTTCCATCACTATTTCATAAATGCAATATTTTTTATTTTTTTGTGAAACTTATGTTTTGGCAAAAAATCATTGTGTTGTGTTTCCTTTAAGCAATAACAAAACTGACTTTCCTTTTTCATTAATTCACACATATGTTTGGGGCCCTGCCCCGCAATCTACACATAATGGAAAAAAATGGTTTATTAGTTTTGTTGATGATTGTACTCGGGTAACTTGGGTATATTTACTTAAATATAAAAGTGATGTGTGTGATGTGGTTAGTTCCTTCTATCATCTGATTGTTACACAATTTAACACATCTATTAAGGTCATTCGATCAGACAATGAAGGGGAATATTTTAAGACTGAATTAATAGAGTTCATGAACTCTAAATGCATCTTGCATCAAACTACATGTCCTTATTCACCACAACAAAATGGAGTGGCTAAGAGAAAAAATATACATATATTAGAGGTGACAATATCACTTTTGATAGATGGTAATGTCCCATGTCATTTATGGGGTGAGGCTGTGAGCTCTGCCGTTTATTTAATTAATCGAACATCTTCTAGTGTGCTTAACTTTCGAAAGCCTTTTGATGTGTTGTCTGATCATTGTATCCTTCCTCCCATAGTTTATTTACCACCTCATATTTTTGGATGTGTTATATATGTTCACTTACACCCACGTCAAGGTACAAAACTTAAAGAGCGAGCGATCAAATGTGTTTTTGTTGGGTATGGATCAATTCAAAAAGGTTATCGTGCTTACCATCCACCATAAAAAAAAAATTTATATTTCTATGGATGTGACATTTAATGAGCATGAATTTTTTTATGTTGGTTCTCCACTTCAGGGAGACAATGAAAGTAAAGTGCATAATCATGATGTTGATATGTTTGATTGTGAAGATAAATTATCGTGTGAATTCTGCAGGAAGTGAGTCAATCCTAAATATGGACCCTTCTTTTCTGGATAATACAGTGTCTTCTGGTCATAACCAATTGGCTCAATCTTCTCCACAGGTTCAGCTTGACTCTTCAAAGGTACCTTCTGATCCTATCTCTAATAATACTAATTTAGATGAAATTAATCATGAAATTGATTCTTGTCTACGTGAGACCACCAACACACCAAACATTGAGTCTAACCTTGTTCTAACCATGGTCAACCTCTAGTTAAATATGAACCAGACCTCCAAGCCAAAGTTAAATATCCCATTAGTAAATATGTGTCACCTCACAGGTTATCTCAGTCATATGCATCATTTGTATTTCAATTATCTTCAATTTCTATTCCTAGTAATATACAGGAAGCTTTGACAGATCCTAGATGGATAGAAGAATTGGTTGAGGAGATGACAGTTTTAGAAAAAAATAACACTTCGGATCTCGTGTCCTTACCAAGAGGGAAGAAAACTGCGGGCTGTAAACGAGTCTTTACAATTAAGAATAAAGCTTATGGAACTATTGAGAGGTATAAAGCATGACTTATGGCTAAAGGTTACACTCAGTCTTATGGTGTAGATTACCAAGAGACGTTCGCACCGGTAGCCAAGCTCAATACTCTGAGAACACTTTTGTCGCTAGCTGCAAACCAAGATTGACCTCTTCTACCATTTGATGTGAAAAGTGCTTTCCTACACGGAGAAATTTAAGAAGAAACTTATATGGATTCTCCACCAGGCATGAATGATTCAATTGGAATGAAGGTTTGCAAATTAAAGAAGGCTCTATATGGATTAAAAAAATCCCCAAGAGCATGGTTTGGAAGGTTTACCAAGTCTATGAAGGCTTTTGGCTATAGAGCAAGTAACTCGGATCACACCTTATTTTTTAGGAGAGGAAAAGGAAAAATTACAACTTTGATTATATATGTAGATGACATGATTGTTATAGGAAATGACAAAGATGAGATTTCTAGTTTACAACAATACCTTGCATCAGAATTTGAGATGAAACAACTTGGAAACCTCAAATATTTTTTGGGTATTGAAGTAGCTAGATCAAAACATAGTATTTTTCTAAGGCAAAGAAAATATACTATTGATTTACTATCAGAAACTGGGCTGCTTGGGAGTAAACTAGCTGATACACCAATTGAACAAAATCATAAACTCTTTCAATGCTCAAATTCAGCAAGCATAAATAGAGGAAGATACCAAAGGTTGGTAGGAAAATTAATTTATTTGTGCCATACACGTCCAGATATCACTTATGCAGTGAATGTTGTTAGTCAATTTATGCATGATCCACGAAAGCTTCATATGGATGTTGTTGAAAGGATTTTGAGATATTTGAAGTCTGCTCCTGAAAAAGGAATTTTGTTCTCAAATCATCAAAACTTAAAGGTAGAAGGGTACACTGATGCAGATTGGGCAGGTTCAAAAGATGATAGAAGATCTACCTCTAGATACTTTACTTTTGTAGGAAGGAATCTTATAACTTGGAGGAGTAAAAAACAACCTGTAGTAGCAAGATCTAGTGCTGAAGCAGAATTCAGAGGCATGACACTAGGTGTATGTGAACTTTTGTGGATTAAAAATGTGTTATTAGATTTGAGCTTTAAACAAAAAGAAGCTATGAGTTTGTACTGTGACAATACTTTAGCTATAGCAATTGCTCACAATTCTGTGTAACATGATAGAACAAAGCATGTGGAGATTGATAGATATTTCATCAAAGAGAAGCTTGAAGCTGGAATAATTTCATTTCCTTTTGTAAGATCAGATTTGCAGTTGGCTGATGTTCTCACCAAAGGAGTGTCAAGAAGATTATCTAATAAGTCTCTATTCAAGTTGGAAATGTGTGATATCCATGCACCAACTTGAGTGGGAGTGTTAAGATATGCCAAATATTCTATTAAAGGATATTAGGCAATCAAATTTTGTGTTGGTTATAATTTAGATATTATTATAATTTGTGCACCTGTCATTCCTTTAATAGATGAAGAATTATAAGATCCTTGAATTTATATATATGATACTCTACTATTTGAAATAATACATCAAAATTATTCTTTAAACCTTTTATTAGTTAACACGTTAGATTAAGAAAAATAATTTGGAATTTGCAATGTGTGTGTATATAACAGGGTTAAATATGTTTTTCGTCCCTTAAGCGTCACACAATTTTGGTTTTAGTCCCTACTTGAAACTTTGATGGTTTTTAGTCCTCATAGTTTTGAAACTCTTACTATTAGTCCTTAAAATTGGACGGCGTTAACTTTTAGTAGATGTGACAAACGACCAGCCCACGTGTGATGCCACCTTCCCTGACTACTTTTAATTGACGTGACAGTAAAGGTGTGGTGGTCAGTCAGGCTGGTGGGTGGTCGACCACAATGTCTGGTGGTCGGTCGGCCTGATGGGTGGTCGGTCACTTGGTCTGGTGGTTGGTCGGCCTGGTGGGTTATATTACAATCAACATAACAATGCAATAGAAGCATACTATATAAAAGACTGAATGGTGTTGGGCAAAGACTGAACGGTTATGGTGATGGCTGATGTTCAATATATGAAAGACTGAACGGTGTTGGGCAAAGACCGAACGGTGTTGGGCAAAAACCAAACGGTTATGGTGACGGGTGGAATGCAATATATAAAAGACTGAACGATGTTGGGAAAAGACGAACTATTATGGGCAAAGACCACCATGCCGACCACCCACCAGGCTGACCGACCACCACACCTTTACTGACACGTCAATTAAAAGTAGTAAGGTGGCATGACATGTGGGCTGGCCGTTAGCCACGTCAAATAAAAGTTAACGTCATCCAATTTTAAGGACTAATAGTAAGAGTTTCAAAACTACAAGGACTAAAAACCATCAAAGTTTCAACCAAAATCGTGTGATACTTAAGGAACGAAAAACATATTTAACCCTATATAATATAATATATTTTACATGACTTAATTACATAAGTTATTTTATAATAAATTTATAAGTACTTGATTTTTTTTATCAACATACATGCATCTTTGTAATATATAGTATTTAGCTTCAAAAGTTCGATGAGTGCTGTAAAAAAATGTTTGAGGAGAAATATGCAAGAAAAGAAAGTATCTAGAAAGCAACACTATGGATAATAGATACAAAACTGAAAGTTCTAGTCCTGAAGAAGACAGAATTATTGTCTCTCTCTCCCAACAAAAATAAAAATCTCAAACTTTATTTGCCATTTGAGGCGAGAGATGAATTAAAAAAAAGTAAAAGAAAAAAAAGTACAGGTGGAACGTTCCGAGTGGATACAACGACGTTAACACAACACGAGTCCGGTCCGCGTAATAAAAATGATTTTTTAAAGTTCCATTTGCGATTGCGCATCAACACCAAACGCTCCCTTAACCCACCCAACCCAAACCCCAAATCCGAAACCGTCCTATTCCACGTTCGAATCAGGGGCATCTCTGAACTGGAAAAATCAGATGCCAGCGATTTGAGCGATACACTGTGAAGAAGCTGCGTAGTGCGTTTCGCTCTTCCAAATGGCGGTTTCCGATAGTCCAAGCGGTGCCTCCACGCCGCCACAACAGGAACAAGCCAACAAGTACGGTTTCACGAAGCCTCTATCTCTCGCGGGTCCCACCGACGCTGATCTCCACCGTAACAACGAATTGGAGAGGGTAATTAGTTTGTGATTCGTCTCATCTCGATTGTTTAGGGCCCGCGCCTTCGCATTCTCGCTTTCGTGTCAAACCTAAACCTCAAATTTGTTTTCTTTTGCTTCAGTTCTTGCTCGATTCGGGGCTTTACGAGAGCAATGATGAGTCCGCCGCGAGGAAGGAGGTTCTTCACCGCCTCGATCAGGTTAACTGTCTCTTCGATCTCGCTTTTGTTGTTATTTGAGCGCGTTGATTACTGCGTCGGTGTTCTGTTCATTAGCCTGTTCAGTTTTTGTGAACAGTATTGTGGAATTTGTTTCATGTTGAGGAACATGATTTGAATTGAAACCTTTATGCTTGTCTAGGGTTCACCAGGGCTTTCGGATGGTGCCCTTTCTTTTTGTGATTGTGGTTTTTCACTGTCCTTTGGATTGGATTTTTTGTAATGACCAAGTTAGCTTGCAATGTAGATTGTGAAGAGCTGGGTGAAGCAGTTGACGCGCCAACGTGGCTACACAGATCAGATGGTTGAGGATGCAAACGCAGTCATTTTCACTTTTGGTTCTTACCGACTAGGGGTGCGTATGACATTGTGTAAATATTCATGCTTGTTTGGATTGTGGGGGTTTACATTAAAGGCTTGCTTTGTAGTAGTTGATATCTGATAATTTATCTAGAGAATGCTTGTGTTGTTTAGATTCACCATAGAAATTAGCAAGTTATGAGTTGTCAGTAGAAGAAGGAAATTAAATCTTGAAGTAGAAAAGATTTGAAGGAGAATTAATTTTATGAGCAGGAATGCATTTATTGTTATTAGGATTTGCGAATAGCTAAAAGTCCGAGAATGCTTAGTCTGGTGGATCCTTTATACTTAACTTTTTATAGCTGCTTAAAGAAAGAGATCCCTGATGATGTTAAAGGTTTTCTGCTTAGATTATATTAATGTACACGTTTAATTCTCCTGGACTCGGGAATGCTGTAGTTCCAAGCCTTTTGTTTGTAACAATATTAATATTTCAATAATTTGCAGGTTCATGGACCTGGAGTTGACATTGACACTTTGTGCATTGGTCCTTCTTATGTGAACCGAGAGGTGACACACTTCTGCTGGTTATTTCTCCTCAATTTAGTAAAATCCCTGACATTGGTTATATTTTAGCCAATTTCTCTCTTTTGCAGGAAGATTTCTTCATCATTTTGCATAACATTCTAGCTGAAATGGAAGAAGTTTCTGAACTTCAACCAGTTCCTGATGCACATGTTCCTGTAATGAAATTCAAATTCCAGGGAATATCTATAGATTTGCTGTATGCAAGTATATCACTTTTGGTTGTGCCAGAAGTAAGTTTGGTTATTCATTCGTCAGGGTCTTTGTATCTTCTGAGTGCACACTTTCGTGGGGGACAATTTTATTAATACTGCATTCTCGTACACTGTCCTTCTCAAATCTTTTACAGTTTAAACCAATCACGTGTCGTATATAAGTACTGCTCTTTTGTGATTTTATCATGTTTGGTTTGGAGGTAGGATCTTTGTCTTTTTACCCACGTTCCATGGAGCACTATTGCAATTATTTAGGGGTAGATGTTTTTGTTTGATTTGAGAGGGAAGATATTAAATTAGTATGCTGATTATTGACCTTCATGTAACATGTTAGGTTGGCAAACTGTATTGTATTTATAACCTGTCACCATGTATCCATTTCCCGTTGCCTTTTTGCATTCTAATTTTGTGTGTTTGGTTGGGTGGAAAGCAAATAGGAAGGAAAGATAACACAGATAAACACAGAGAACATGTTTCTTTCCATTGTACTTTCTCAGTCTTCCACCTTAGAATCTAGTTTATTTAAACTTGCCTTTAATTTGATTCGGTTATCTAACATACTTATCTACAGGACCTGGATATCTCTCATGGTTCAGTGCTGTATGATGTTGATGAACCAACTGTTAGAAGTCTTAATGGCTGCCGTGTGGCAGATCAAATTCTTAAACTTGTTCCAAATATTGAGGTTAATACATATGTTCTTTTGTTTGATTAAATGAGATATTATATTTAATGGTTGTTCATCTTATTAATTTGGTAGTCCATTAACCCTTGATAATGATAGCACTTTCGAACTACACTGAGATGCTTGAAGTTTTGGGCTAAAAGACGTGGTGTTTATTCAAATGTAAGAGCAGCACCTACATTCTTTGGTTGTATTTTATTTCAACACCAATGGTATTTTCTTTTATAATGATTTGAAATACTGTTTTTTGGTGTGCTTAGGTTACTGGATTCCTTGGTGGTGTAAATTGGGCTATTTTAGTTGCTCGAATATGCCAGCTTTACCCTAATGCAATTCCTAGTATGTTGGTTTCCCGGTTCTTCAGGGTCTATACACAGTGGCGATGGCCAAACCCTGTAATGCTATGCTCTATTGAAGAGAATGAACTGGGATTCCCTATATGGGATCCTCGTAGAAATCCCCGAGATAGATTTCACACTATGCCAATAATTACTCCTGCATACCCTTGCATGAATTCAAGTTACAATGTCTCAGCAAGTACTCTTCGTGTCATGATGGAACAGTTCCGCTATGGCAATAAGATTTGTGATGTAAGATAAGTCTATTATTTCTTGGTGTATTTTATTTGTGACTGTCTTTATTTGATTGATACTTCTACTGTTAGGAAATTGACCTCAATAAAGCCCAGTGGAGCGCACTTTTTCAGCCTTATATCTTTTTTGAGGCATACAAAAACTATTTACAAGTGGACATAGTTGCATCGGACACTGATGATTTACTAGCATGGAAGGGCTGGGTAGAATCTCGATTGAGGCTGCTTACCCTTAAGGTACAGTCTTGTCATAGTTTAGTACAAGATATCCCTGTATTGGGTTTAATTGAATTCTGTTCTCCGTTGAAAAAATTTAATCTCTGAACATTTCATAAATTCTTCTCGGTAGTATAGGTTTGTCATGGTTTGGTACGTACAAGCTTTCTTGAACCTGGGATCATTCCAGTTCTATTTTTTTATTCATTGAAAATATTTAATTGTTGAACATATATGTATATTCTTTCCTTCCCATGTATTAAACATTGACAATATGGTTTTCAATTATTTGAGTAGATAGAGCGAGATACAAATGGGATGCTGCAGTGCCATCCTTATCCACATGAGTATATAGACACATCGAAGCCATGTGCTCATTCTGCATTTTTCATGGGCTTGCAAAGGAAAGAGGGAGTAAGAGGTCAAGAAGGACAGCAATTTGATATACGGGGAACGGTTGATGAATTTAGACAAGAAATAAATATGTATATCTACTGGAAGCCTGGAATGGAAATTTTTGTTTCTCATGTTCGTCGAAAGCAACTTCCTGCATTTGTTTTTCCTGATGGTTACAAACGCACTAGAATGCCAAGACACATAAGCCATCCGACCGAAAAAACAGGTGATGATGCCACGAAGTGCTACTCTGGATCTGGGCCATCTGAAAGATGCACCAAGAGGAAAAGTTACCCTGAAATGGTGGAAAAGAAGCCAGACAAACCAGATAAACGGGCATCTATTAGCCCACAGAGGTTAGAAAGTGTTTCTCCTGAAAGTTGTACTAGTAAATCAGGTGGTACCGCTCAAATGAGTATTGATAGTATGGAAGGGGTTTGGGTAGCTGGTTCAACAACCAAGTATGCTAACAGCAATTGTGAAATTAAGTCATCTGATGTGCTCCCAGGAAGTGGACTAAGCTCTGTCGTAGCTGACATGCAGATAAGTGAACCGGGCTTTGTTGACACCACACATGATATGTTGAAACCGAGGAGTGTAGAAGTTCCTAATGAGGTAAGCTGCTGAATCAGTGGTGGAACCTTTGGAAGTTGTTTGGTTCATGTGAACTTCCTTAATTAGACGTTGGTGATGCATTTCAGAATGGAGTTGTCGATGGGGACAAAGCTCAGGATCTGGCTTTAGATTGCTTGGAAAGTGAAGAAACCGAATCTACTAACAATTTTTCAAACTGTAAAGCGGGTGTCGTCGATATGGATCAGCAACTAGACAAAGCATGTAATTTCATCACAAGGGATGAATGCTCAGATTATGTACCAAATGCCAGCTCCCAGAACCTCAGTTGCGAGGTGAGTTATTTCGTTTGAGGACTTTTTGGATTAGGACTATTGTGGATGGCAGTGAAAAAACTGGAAGTCTGGGAGATAGTGAGTCAGGGATCTGTGCAGGGTGATGTTTGTGTGGCTGTTCCAGATCAGTTCTGAAGAGAGTGGGTGTTTTCTTGGAAATAGAGTATTTCAAAATATCAGGGCTCAAGAATATAAGGTTTTGAATTTTCTAACCTATTTGTTTTCTCGGTAATAGAGGCCTGTCTGATCTTACAATGATACTATTCAGTTCACCTCATCCTTTGCTTCGTTCTTTCATGGAAGTTACCAAAAATTTATATTTAATGAGTTTTCAGAATAAGGAGTCTAATCTTGTTTTGTTTTTTGGTCTGATTTGATTCTTTTTTGTTTGATTTTAGCTTTGTTTGCATATTTATAGGCAAATTTAGAGTATGGCCTGCCCTTTCTCTCTTCCCATCTTTTTGGGTCTTATTTCTATGAACAACTGTTTTAATGTTGTATATTTTTATGTTTCTTTCAAGATAATTTGACTGTCAATTTCCATGGTAATTTAATTTCTTAGTTTTCTGACTGGTGAATGTGTGGTCGCAGGTCCTGCACCACTATACGTGCTATGTTTCCAGTAACTGTGCTTAAGAACCTAACTTGTTTTGTGTGTAGAGAGACTCAGAGACCAGACCTTCCTATTGTTTCATTTAAGATTTTTTGTTTAATACATTTTTCCCTAATTGTTATTATTCTTTCTATTTTCTATATTGTGTATAGCCAGATTTCAGACTCAGAAGTGTTGTAAAATTGAAGATGGGCTAGGTCAGAATCTCTGCGGAACTTTTGAAAAACATGTTTGTCAACTCTCTAAGATTGTTTTTATACTGTGCTCTTTGCTTTTGGTTTTGTAGGTGGACGAGTTTGGACTGAATCCCATGATGTTTGAGAGGGTTAATGGCTGAAATTCCTGTCACGCTGCTACCCTGTGCATTGTTGGTGGCTGTTGCTGTGCTGAGATCCTGTGAGCGGGACTAAGGCTGTAATAGAACAGTGAGAAAAGATACAACAAATGATGGCAGTGAAAGAGATTGGGGTTTGGGGTATATGGCATTGCGATGATCGTTTGTGTACATAGATGAACAGCATGACGGAGACGCTTAAATTGTGGTCTCGTCCTGTTGTGTGAAACATGCGCTCATCTCATCTTCAGAGCTCTGAATTGTCTCATAAACCTTAACATATCTACTTGGATTTTAAAGGAGTGGGAACTTTGTATTTTGCTTGTGACGTAGATGTGATCGATACGTTATGTAAATGTGAAAAATGGCTACTTCGGCTAGGTTATTTAGAAGAGAAAGTGGTAAAACAAAAATATATTGGCGGCAGAATGGGGGTAGTCTTCCTTGTTTATCCTTTCTTCGAAGTTTCGGTGGGAGGTTCCTTCTGTTTATTGGGTTTCGTTGGTCTTTCAATTTAGTGAAAACACTTTATCTTGTGAAAATGGTTTCTTTCATTAGTGCTCTTACATGGCTTTCTTTTATGTTTTTGCTACTTAATTTGCTTGACATTAATTTGTCTTCGAGTGAAAAGCCCAATGAAGCAGGATTATTCTGAATTTCACGCTGGTCACTAATGTATGTAAACCTGTTACGGGTAAACCTAGTTAACAAATTGTGGTGCTTACACGTTAATCATATCCAAAAAACTTAGCATTTTCATCGCAATGAAACACTGGGTCACTGGTATAAATATAAGACGTTTAAGACATTTTTCTTGGAATTCTTCTTTTGGTCGTTTGTGTATCTCGTCTACCTTTGCCTCACATTCATCGAATACGCTGTTGGTACGAAAAAAACTTACGTGGGAGTATACTATGCTTTTCAAAATAATACTCTTTTAATGAGAAAACGTTAGTAATTCACATTCGCGCATAATACTATCTTTACATGCCGTACCAACAGCTTGCTTAATTTTTTATTACAACATTCTCTTGCAACTAGAAATGTACCTTGTATCACCAAGATGAGTTATTGGTTGCAGCCTTACTCTCCTTGTAACTACAAACGTACCTTGTGTCACCAAGTAGAGGAGCGATATCAAATTCATTTCCCATTTTTCTACGTGTAGAACCTGAATGACAACACCGAAGTACTTGCAAAATCTCTTTCGTGGAAGGTCTAGTTGACGGCAAGGTGCTTGTGCAAAGGAGGCCCAATTTGAAGACATTAGCCATCTCTTGCGCATAACGTGGTTCTTTGATATTCTCATCGAATGCATCAGTAAGGCTCTTGGCTTCATTAAAATGCTCCCACGCCCATTCAACTAAGCTGCATGCACGCTCGCCGCTTATATTAGGCTTCCTTCCCGTAACAAGCTCCAAGAGCACAACACCAAAGCTATAAACATCCACTTTCTCGTTAATCTTAGTTGAATAAGCATATTCTGCAATGCAAGTGAAGCACATTATCAGACCAGCTTACTTCAGTATCAATATAAAAACTTCTGTAGATGGCAATTTAGCATCATTTACCTGGTGGAATGTAGCCAAAAGAGCCTGCTAGTGCAGACATGGTGTTTAGTTCACCGGGCTTTGCCAACATCTTGGCGAGCCCAAAATCTGCTATTTTAGCTCTGAACTCTGAGTCCAACAGTATATTGCTAGATTTGACATCTCGGTGGATGACGGGGGGTGAGCATTCATGGTGCATGTAACACAGGCCTTGTGCAGCCCCAATGGCAATATTCAACCTCGTTGGCCAACTCAACCCAGGAGGCGATGTTTTTTCCTCTGCATGAAGCCATTTATCCAGGCTCTGATTTTCCATGTATTCATAAACAAGAAGTTTGGAGTTCTCACTTGCATAGCAGCACAAAAGCTTTACTATATTCGAGTGCCGAATGTTGCCCAGGATCTCAACCTCAGCCTGGAACTCTTTCTCCAACTTGTCATCCACATCCTCGCGATTCCAGATCCGCTTCACCGCAACATACTCACCTGGACGATTTGAAGCAATCCGGTAAACTTTCCCAAACCCTCCACTCCCTATGAGGTTATTGTCTGTCAAACTCGAGAGGAAGTTTATTTCCGTGAGATCAAGCTTCTGGAATGAAGTGAGCCTCCACGTTGCAACCTTATTTTTATGCCCGCAGTGCTTTTTGCCCCATTGCGTTTTCAACATATAGAAGAGCAAGGAAGCTATTGCCGATAGCACAACCGCAGTGGCAGCCAGAATCAGGGCCAGTGATTTCGAAGACGAATTGCTCGACTGTGGTGCCGCTGACGCGGTTTTGGTCAAGCAGTTGTCAAGGTGGACGTTTGGATTGTAAGCACATAGATGAGGATTGTTCAAGAAACTATTTTCAAATGCGAGGTTATTGAACTCATCAGGGATTTTCCCAGATAGCCGGTTGGAGGACAAGTTGAGGAAAACAAACCGCAACCTATCAAACTGAGGAGGTATTTCACCTGATATGTCGTTTTGAGACAAGTCCAGGTAAGCCAGGCGGGGAAGAGCAGTAATAGCCGTGGTAATCTGGCCAGAAAGTTTGTTTCGTGATAGTGTCAAAATGTTCAGTGATTGCCACGAAATAATCTCAGATGGAAGTGCACCCGAAAGTTGGTTACCATCCAGCATGAGAGCAGTAAGCCGTGAAAGTTGAGTCAATTCCCTTGGAATTTCACCCAAAAGCATGTTGTTTCTGGCATCAAGAAACATCAGATTTTTGGCCGAAGTAATCCCAACAGATATCCCACCCGAGAAGTTGTTGTTGGCGATCTCAATCCTCGTCATATTCCAAAACACTTGACTCGGAAGAGGCCCAGAAAAAGAGTTGTTGCTCAAAATCAAGGACGAAAGGTTATTCATAGTCCACAAACCCAAAGGAACCTCACCCGAAAACTTGTTATTATAAAGCTGAACCGTGGCTAGAGAAGGACAATTCCCAATCCACTCAGGCAAAACCCCACTAAAATTGTTGGAAAATGCAACCACACCAATAAGGGCACCACCTGCACATAAATGTTCCGGCAACCCACCACTGAGCTGGTTCTCAGAAACCTCAAACACTGTAAGCTTGGAATGCAAGCCTAGTTCTGGAGGCAGTGTTCCACTCAAGTTATTGCTAAAAACCCTGAAATAGATGAGATTAGGAATTTGGCTTAAACTTACGGGAATCTCACCGACTAAGTGATTTTCGTACAAGTGCAAGGTACTCAAGTTCTTTAATTTTCCAAACTCTGGCGGTATGGAACCCGTCAAATTATTCTTCGCGAAATCAAGGTCGATTAATTCCAAACACTGCATCGTATCACTAGGAATCGCACCCGACAATCTGTTACTGAACAGGTACAAGAACCTCAACTTACTCAGCGAGAACAAATTCCTCGGAATGCTCCCTGATATCTTGTTCTTCCCCAAATCCAACCGTTCGAGGTTCGTGAAAATATTCCCGAAATATTCTGGAATCTCTCCGATCAAGTTACACTGCGGCATATACATAGACCTCAAATTTCTTAATTTCCTAAACTCCAACGGGAACTCCCACGGCGCGAGTTTAAGATTATAACCCAAACCCAAAAATTCGAGGTTCAACAAGTTTCCGATTTCCCTGGGGACGGTTCCCTCGAAGTTGTTTGCGGAAAGATACAGCGTTTGCAGTTCCAGCAGGTTCCCGATCGCGGCCGGGATCTCTCCGGAGAAGGAGTTGGCGGTGAGGTCGAGGAAAGTGAGGGTTTTGAGGCGGTCCACGTCGGCGGGGATCGCTCCTGCGAGGTAGTTCTGCGACAGGTTGAGGTACCGGAGGTTGGAGCATTCGTACAAGGTTGTCGGAAACTCGCCGGCAATAAAGTTGTTGAAGAGGTTAAGCTCGAGTAGGTGTGTGAGGTTGCAGATTGTGGAAGGGAGGCTCTTGGTGGTGGTGATGCCCTTGCTGGAGAGGACTAGCTTCGTGACGGCGCCGCCGCTGTTGCATCCAATCTCCGTCCAATCGCACGGCGCAGACGGCGACGGTTTCCATGATCGGAGCGACGGTGGGTCTCCCAGTTCACGTTTGAGAGTGAGTAGGATTGTTTGTTCAGTTTCTGAAATTACCCGAGAGGGTACAGCGACGCTGAATAACAGGAAGAAATGAAATGAAATAAAGAGGGGCACTTTGGACATTTCGCAGTTTCAGTTAGGGATTTTGCCGGGAAAACGTGACCATCAAAATTTCGAACATGAGGAGCTTGAGGTTTTGTTCTGTCTCTCTTTACTCTGTTATGTGTTTGATGTATTGTGATGTGTATGAATGAGTTTATTATATATTGAAAATAATCACGGGAAAAATAATATAAGCACTAGCAATGAACTTTAATTACACGGGCGATGCTGAAAATGATGGAAGCAAGAGGAAAGTGATGTTTAGCTAGGTTAGAGTTTCGTTCAAACACGACTGATTAAGATATTGTGTGGCATTTCTTGGATTTTTTTCAGTGGATATCTTTGGTTAGTTAAAACTACACAATTGAAAGGACATGTCATCATTGTTTTTCTTTTCTCTTTTTTTTTCTTCTTGTTTTGGTTCCATTTTCTACCATCAATATTTATTCTCTGGCAAATGGATTTGGTTTAAATTGTTTCATTGGTTTCTTGAGCCTCTAAAGGGGAATTGGGCCACAAACGCATGATGGATGATGGAAAAGAGAAAGCTAGTCAACAGTGCTGAAGTGAATATCTTTATGTTACTAGACTGAAGCACGCTACCTTCATACTTTCTACCTCCAACAACCATTTTTCTTTCCAATAATATGTATTCGATATGGGACAAAGGACACCTAATATCATATAGACCAAAAATTCAAATTCGTTTTTTTTTAATTTTAAAAATAAATAAATATAATCTTTTTAATATAATAATATTCATAATTTTTTACGTATTAAATGATGTTTCAATTTAACACAAACTAACTCAAAAAGTATTTTACAACATACTTTGACATGTCACAAAAATACAATGTAATTAAATTAAGAGAATCACATTTATTTATTTTTAAAAGTTAAAGGTTAAACTGTATCAAAATTTGAAACTTGATGAATATCAATTTTAAGTTAAAGTTTAAGAGACAAAAATATATTTAATTCTATAATTAAAAATGAGTCTAAGTTTTAGATTAATTAAAAATAAGAAAACTGAACATCTTTATAAATTAGAAATTAAGTCACAGATTTTTTTTTATTCTCAATCTGCTAAACGTTAAAAATTAGTAAGTTGTTTTGATTATATAATATCTAATTTTTATTAACAACCTCAAATATTCTTTTAATACCTTTTTGGAACTAATTTCAACAAAACATGCATTACCCTTTTACTCATATTGTATGGAGTGTAGAAACAATTGGTACAAGAAGACCCATATACAAAGGAATCTAAGTTAAAGACTTGCATACATAAGGAAATTTAGATAACCTTTGTGAGATCAACAAACCCAAAAGCCTCAATTCCTAACTATATTCTCTTCGAAAGCACACCCAAATGCTTCAATTTTACCAAAAAGATTCACAATGCCACTTGCTTTTTTGTGCAACACCACTGCACTTTTAGAAAACAATTCTCCACAGCTGCAACATACATTTGTCAGCTATAGGGCCAGAACTGAATTAATTCCTTTCCAATTAGTATGATTACTTCCAAAATAAGATTGCACAATATTTATGGGAAATAACTCATGACTAGTATTTAACCTCCTTTCTATCCTAACACGCCACTGAGATTCCTGTATTTTGTATTTCACCCTTCAAAAGCATTTTACACACAGCAGAATTTGACCAAAATGTAGATAACGCAACATACACTACACCATTTGAGCTCTTTCAAGTACTTTCATCAGAGTCTTGTAATGTAGTACACAGATTGTAGAATCATTAAACAGAATACCCAACAGAACCTCCCTGCCAACTGGAATTGTAATATGTTTTTGCTAACACAGTCAGTGCCAATGAAACATACACTAAAGGTAGGAACAACTTTCACATTCAAAGAGCATTTTACTTTTATTTTGCCACACGTTATCTGTTTTGTCATCTTTCATTTTGTTTGGCACATCTGCTAGTACTGGCACAACTTTAATTCAATAATTTAACTTACGAACTGTTTAATTTTGCCCAAACGTAGCCTGTTAGCATTATTGGTTCATGATCTTCTTACGTGAAGAATTCATATTTTCAGTTTGGAATATGGAGGAAAAAAAGAGAAGGAAATTAAGACCACATCATGTGCCTGTGATTCTGATTCCCCCGACTTGAATTTGATTAGCTACAAATGGAACCACTCAGAAGAATTTCCGCAAATAGAAGACTGCATATATTAGCTTGTTTATCATGAAAAATTTGGGATCAAACTCAAATTTTTAGTTCAAAATCTTAATAGAATAATTTTATAATATTTTTTTATTTATTTAAAATTTAATTTTTTTTATGTAACATAAATTCACACTTAGATTCTTAATAATAATATTGTCATTTAACTTAGCCTTTTAAGATTGGAACTTATATTTCTTGAGTTTACATTTGAACATTACAGCTTGTGATATTTACTGTGGCCTAAAGAAAACAGAAAAGAAGTTGGAAGTACTATTAAAAGTTTATTCATAGAAGGAGGGTTTGCATTTTATATTTACTTCTCTTAGTAATAATAACTAGTAAGACTCTTCTAAGAATTTGATCTGATCTTACCATACCATGAATTACAAGTTGATATTTTGAGAAATTGGTTTGGTATTACCAACCATGAACCAAACCCCACTTCATTATTTGTCTTAGTTCTTAGAAGATGCTAAATTGCTTTATTTGTTTAGTTGCAACTTGTAACAGACTAGAATAAGAAGTGTTTGACATTGGAGAAGGAAAAAAAACGCAGGAATTGGCACAAGTTGTAGATATGTTTTCTTCAAGAGCAATGGACATAAGCACACGCAAGTTGTTTTAATGTTTAATGGAGAATAACTTATTTCCAAAAGTAGCTAAAGCAAAAGAAAGCCCCAGTGAACTTATATTGCACTTGTTCAGTCACTTCTCTTACTCCTCTTCCAGCATATATACGTTCATGAAAATGTACCTAAAATTTGACCTTATGTGTTTGGTTTTTCTTCGTATCAAACGTGATTTTGTTAACAAATGTTTATTTGTTGAATAAAATTGATTATGTTTTGTTCTGAGATAGGTTTTCTCTGTCTATTAGGAGCACTCAGAGTTCTTTGAATGTCAGCGTGCTCATGTACCTTATATGTGTAAGTTACTTCAGATTAATGATATGACAGGCTTACGAATTCAAACTTGGAATTGATACTTTCACATTAAAAAATGCCAGTGAGATAAATAATATATATATAATAATCGTAAATTTATTATTATTTTTAGAATATAAGTGTAAAAAAAATAAAACACTTCATAAGATGTTTCACCAACTATTCTATAATTACATTAATGGTAGTGGTGTAGCGAAAAACTATATTGACAAATATTGTATTGTTCTATGAAAAGCTTAATATTTTATAACTAACACAAAAAAGTTAACACTTCTCACAATCAAAATATTATTAAAATACACTGATAGTATAAAGTATTTTATATTATCATATAAGTATTGTATACAATAAGTTTGCTAATTTTAAAATTAGATTGTGTAATTAAAAGGAAAATGTGATCAGTTTTTTTCATAAATGGTTGTGCATTTCATACTTGTAACCAGCCATTTAGAAATAAATAGGAAAATTGTATGGATCATTATGAGATTATTTAACCACATTTTTACATTTATACTAAAATGATTTCTGACATTAATGTTTCACGACAATCAGACTCGGATAATTGTGAAGTTCATGACAATCAGCCTTCACACTTATCATCTCAATATAAAGAATTGACAAATGCAGATAAAATATGAATCAGAAGAGATAATTAAATGAATATAAAACGAAGATAATTTAATGTAACCAGAAGAGTTTTTTTACTAGCTGGAATAATGCTGTTCACAAATGGTAAATTGAAATAATGCAGCTAATATATATAATTCAACTTTATTCAGATAAATTATCTTTTTCTACCTATCTGTAGCTATCTTGACACATCTCAAATGAAAGTCATTTGAACGTGCAAGCAAAGGCCCTATTGTTTATACATAAAAAGTTTGTATTTTGTTATGTTCTTGCAAATTCCACGAATGGATCCAACTGCAGCAACACCTGTAACGAGGAAGCACATGAAGCTCAATAATTGAAGCATATACCACTTCAATGATTGTGTTTTGATCTGTTTCTGAGCAATGTGCATTTGTATAGGGAAGAAAACAATGAGAGGCCAGAACCCAATTGCTCCAAGCAAGCCAAGAAACTCATTGAAAAATGGCATGGCCATGGCAAGAACTGTGGCTATTATCACATATGCTGTCCTCCAAACAAGCCTAAAAAAGTTGACTTCACATGACAAGAACCCCATTTTGATTGGGTAGCCCTTGTTTATGAAATCTGAATGAGGCCACGCCATGTTAGCTCCCATCTCAACTACACGAAATATTGGTTGAGCCATTACCTGTGCCACACAATGTTATTATATCCACACTGCAGAAAAGAGAGAGAGGTTGAAAACTTGATAAATAAATAAATAAACAAAAGGGTCGAACCTGATATGCTCCCACCATGTGGATTACAATGAAAACATTGCCAAGGGCGACCAACCAGTATGGCTCATAAAATCCAAAGCCAGTGAGGATGTTCCCAGGTGTGTTATTTCCGAAAGCAGCATACCCCAGTCCACCGCATAACATGAAAAGTATTGTCATTAATATGATTCCTAACACATTGGCTCTTTTCATCTGTACGCTTTCTGGTGGATTTGACTTCAATGTGTCCTAAATAATATGCATGCATGTAAATCCATATACTACCAAATTTAATGAAATCACTTCTTTCTATATAGTATTTTCTTAGTATAATTAGCTTTAATAACGTGTTCTTGCTCATCACTTACCATTATATCATAAATAACTGTAGCAAAAGAGGAAGCAAGTGCAATGTTTCCCAAAGCACCGAAAACCTTCCAAACTTTTTCTCCTGCAGATTGGTCAGGTCCTATTTCTTTTCCAAATAAACTTGTTGGACGTCCTTTACCTGTTCACAACCCCAAATGTTTCCATCGTAAGTTGTTAGGACACTGCTGTATTGAAAATCTATGACTATTCCGTACTAGGACTAATTTTTAGAAGAATTCTCTGCTGCCCATTCACATAACCATTGTAATCATAGGATGATGTGCTTCCTGGTAGTTCTTTTGGGTCGTGCAATTGGTTGGATCGCTATCATAAGCAGTTAAACTAACTCAATTGAAAGAATGTTTGTGGCATCATACAGAGAATCGTTGTATACATCACTCTTGTTTACAGGGGAAATCTCCAGGAAAGAAATTGGTGCAAACGTCTAATAAGCTAGTGGCATTCTTTGGAAATATATATAGTATAAAAACTAAAACCTCGGAATTAATATAGGTGAGTGCTATAATACCTTGGATCACCGTTGCCAGAGAAAGCCCGCTTCCAATGAAAGCATAACCAAAAGAGGTAGCGGCAGCAACGGTTGAAATCCACGTTAACTTATGGAAATTTGGGGTTTGAGACAATAAAACTTGCACGAGCCCAAAACCAATCATATAGGGATTATTTGAAAACTTGCAATAAGCATCGTGGCCTTCTCTGTGAAAGCAAATGGCTTTTTTTATTGCCCTGCATGCCACAACCATGGCATTATCATTATGTGCACTCACCAACACAGATAGAATTAAGTAGTTGAAGAATGTGATAAAACAAAACAAAAACGTACACCATGCTTATAGAACTAGTTATACAGTAACCCACTGTAACCCCAGCGAGCTTCGCATACAGAACCGATCCACAAAACAGGTGCATTGTTCCGCCTAATTCATCAAATGGCAACATGAAACTCATCAGACATGTAATGGGCAAGTAAAGAATTTATGCAAAGGAGTTGCTAAGGAAGTAGATTATGATACCTAGGTATGAATTGACGGCTTGCATGTAAGTGTAGTTTCTCTTGCCACTGATTGGGTCAGGAAATCTGTAGCAATCAGCTATGCAATGGTAAGTGTACATGGAAATGCTTGCAAATATGATCATAACACCTAACCCAGCAAGCCATCCAAGTTGGGCCATGGCCCATGCCAGAGCCAGCACTCCTGCTCCGACCACCACCGTCACTATGTGCGTCGTAGCAGTGAACACGTTCCCTGCAACCAACCATGTCAGCCCACATAAACTTTTTTTCAGCTTATTCTGGTGCAGGTGAAACAATGAAACGATATCATTTATATTACTTGAAGAATGTATTTTCTTTTAAAAAATCAGTACTTTAAGGGACATTCTCGAAGGTTGAACATTGGAAGAAACAATCAATAGATAAAATCACTTTCGACAAATTGTTGACTAGTTTATGCTCGAACTTTTTTGATTTGGATGAAAATAACACTTTTGACGAACTTTCCAACTTTTGGTCAAATCGAATGCGTGACTTCATTTTTCTTTCAGTTCACGTGTCTAAAAAAATAAACACTTAATTCCACTTCAAAAATATTAAATGATCGTTTAACATTATAAATGTCAAACACTCCACCCGTTTCAATATATAAACATAACTTAATCCACTTAATGTTTGTCTGACTAAAATGTTTCACTGGACAATCCAAAACACGAGAATTTGTTAAAAACGTTCAAACAAGTTGGTGAGCAAAACGAATGATAAACAAAGAATACCTGAAACACAACTTCATACATACATGACTTAGAAGAATGTTCATTAAAAAAGTTGACCTAAACTTCTGTCTTTCAAAAAAAATTATTTGTTTTTGAATTTATGTATTTAAACAATTTTCTTTTACGAAAACAGACAAATAGTAAAGATCTACGCAACTTTAAATAAAGAAGTAAACTTCAGTCTTAAAAAAAGTAATTTAAATTAATTAAGTTATTAAAATAGTGAAAATAGACTTCTATAGTTAAAGTCCTATGTTTTCCTTACATCACCAATTTTTTTTAAAAATTAATTAATATAAATTATATTTACTTAATATAAATTAATGAAAATATAATTTTAATAAAAAATTGTTTAAAATTAATTAATTGACAAAATTAAAAAACAAAATTAATTTAATTACAAACATCATTACGTAAATTTACTTTTGGGATGAAAAAACATTTCTGGGATGAATATTCTAACAAGAGACACCCGTTTCAAAAGGGGAAGGGAGGCGTGAAACTTTTGCAGGATAAGCAAGAGATACAGTAAAAATATCCCGTGAACATGGGACTTGTCCATTTCCCTGTGGAAATGGAGTGAATGACTTGGGCAACACAGAATAATACGCGTCTTGATTGTATAGGGTACGTTAAAAATGGCCACAAGATTTTCTGGCATTTGATGAAAGTGTGTCGGCATCTTTATCTTCCCACTCTTTGATGTCTGAACTATAAAGGATGAAACTTTGCACGTGGTTGGTAAGAAACTTCATCAGTTGCCTCTTTGGACCAGCTAGCTAAATAAAATAACACTCTATTCCTTCAACCAGTTTCTTAGAAGTGAAATTCCATTCAACTCATATTACACAGTTAGTAGTATGTTTCATTTGTCTTTTCTAGGTGAATTCATTTCTCGTGAACTTGAGCAGTGCTCTAAAGGGCATATCTGCCTATACTTGCGTTACATCACATATGCAGGTAATATAGCAGAAGATGAAATGTTCTGAGAAGGATAGATACATGAAAATAGGGAAATGAGAAATATGTGGAAGGAATACCGAGTCCTGGAGAAAACTTAGTAAAAAAATTTGATAGATTCGAATAATCAGGGAGTTAGCAGAGAGATAGGAGAGGCTAACTGAAAAGAAAATGAAGAACAAATAAATGAAAAAAAAAAGTGTGGATTAAGAATTGATTAGATCCGAGAATTCCATCACTCTCATTTTTTCTCACTGTCTAACTTAACAGTCTGTACATGTTCACTGTCAGAATCAATACTACAAAAGTGGCATTCTCTTACATGACAGGATTAGCTTCAATTTTAAGAATCTTACCCACTCATGCATGAACACGTTTTAAAGGAATATCTCAAATAGCGTGTACTGATCCAAGTATATACATAAATGAAAATATGCTGACACGCAAATCAGCCTTCACAAACGTCCATGAAAAGTAGTTTTCTATATTTATGACAGAAAAAAGTTGTCATTAATGTTAAAAACGCGGTATCAATCGATCCAAACGTGAAACGCACGGTTTTTTAATTGACGTTTTTGTCGTATTATAGGAACATCGGTTTCAGATGGCATCCATCGACAACAGGAAGATGCGTTGAGTGCAACAAATTGAATGAACAAAATGATGAAGAAAGAAAGAGAGAAGCAAAAGCAAAGCACATGTACTAACCGGTTCTTTTGGCTCTTCCATCGTCATCGAATCTCGAGGAGTCTCTCTCGTGAGAGTTTTTGTCTGCTTCAACGTCCATGGTTGTGAGTGAAGAAAGTGAAAAAAAAGATTGAGAAGTTAGAGCATGAAAATGTAGAAGAGAAGAGAGAAGAGTAATGATTGAGATGAAGTTGAGAAGAGGCAATGAGTTTATATAAGCGGTGTGATAGCAGAAACAAGTGTTGTAGCCAAATGGCTTTGCATGCGACATTGTCTTAATTCCAACCCCTAATTACTGCACTCTTCTTCCTATTTTTATGCTCTCTTTCTATTTTTAATTCAGTCTTTTTTTTTTAATACTATAACTAAGCTTTACAATGATTTTCTTTTTTAAAAAAACATGACTGTAATGAAACATGTATTCCCTGATCACATGCCGTGTTTTAATTCATCACGTTTATCACACCTCACATAGTATTTTTTTTTACTTTTTACTATTTCAGTTAACTTCAAATCTATTAATGGTGTTTATAATTAGAGCTTAAAAAACAAATATAAAAATAATCAACATCCTTCAATCTTATTAGATCCGATTCTTATGATATGCAAAGATATCTCGATACAATCCTAGATCCAACAAATACGAGTAACAAACAACACATACTTCCTTTGAATCTTACATTAACTAAAAATGAATCTTACCTTAAATCTTCCCTTAACTAAAAATGATAGAGTTATCCGAAAGAATCTATAAACTTATTATTTTATCATTTTGGATAGATACTCACCCAACTATACCTCCACGAATTTAAGTCATTAGATTAGATTTCAAATAAAAGAAAAATTTTTAACATAATTAAAATTGTAACTATTTGATCATATGTGATTCACGAAATTTTCCATTACCGAAAATTGGTTCACTACATTAACCGAAAAATATTATTTTGTAGAAGAACAAGAACAATATGCGCGTGCCGAATAGACCTTAGTTGTCACAATTGAACTTATGATATATAATTAATATCCATCTTTTAATGAAGGATTTTGTGATCTGCTTTTTTTTCTGAAAGAAATTATATATATATAATTTAAGCAAAGTTATATAAAAGATTCTCATCACTTTAAATATTGAAACATATAATTTATTTTTTTGTTGTAACTAAGATAATTATTTCCATCATAAGTTAAAAAAGCTCTATAGAAAATATCATTTATAAAAAAAGTGATTGTTTGACACAAAATATTAGAGTTAGACTCTTTTTTTATTAATTATACTTGAGATTGAAGTTGTAAAATAATTTTCGAGAACTTGAAACATCCTTTCACTCTCATTCTATATATATATATATATAAGAAAGTTTTGATACAAAATATATGATAAATAAAGTAATCCTAAACACAATATAATGATGATAAATAAGGTAATCCTAAATACAATATAATGATGATAAATAGGGTAATCCTAGACACAATATCATGATGATAAATAGGATAACCCTATACACAATATAATGATGATAAATATTCTAACACTCCTCCTAGAACTAGAGCATACAAATCGTATGTACTAAGCTTGGAACAAATAAACTCAATATGAGGACCCCTTAATGAGTTGGTCAACATATCTGCGAGTGATAGTTTGATTCAACAAACTCAGTACATATTTCTTTAGTCAACAATTTTTCACGAACAAAATGATAATCAATTTCTATATGTTTAGCCCTATCGTGAAACACTGAATTTGATGCAATGTAGAGAACAACTTGATTATCGTAATACATCTTTATAGTATGAACACTAGTGCAAAAACAGCGTATAACATCACGCGTTCAACGTCGAACCACTCAATAGCCAACGTTAAAAATGATCAGTGACATTTTTGTAATTAAATGCAATTATTAAATGTCGTTTAGAATTGTAATTCGACGTAAAAGGATATAAAACGTCGACTGTCCCAACGTTAGACGTCAAAATTAGTGAATTCAATAAAAATTTGAGCGGGAGATTGAAAATTCATTCACTTTATCTCAGTGCGCGAGACCCTTTTCTCTGCTCAAACTTTTCTCGAACGAAGTTTGACGACCATCCCATGTAATATTTATTTCATTTGATACAAATGCATGTTAATTTATTACTTTATGTATGATTTTTGTTTGTTTTGACCGATTATTTTCGTGTTGTTGTCCTTCAAAGACGCATCCTGCTTTCTCTCTCACGTGTGGCAACACTTTATTCCGATGAACCAAGGCTAGTTTTCGTTTTCGTTTTCGTTTTGAAGAACTTATTTGTTGAACTTGTTTCTTGTTATTTTTTGTTGAACTTGTTTGTTGTTATTATTTGGGTGAACTTATTTGTTGTTGTTTGATTGGACTTGTTTGTTGTTTGATTGGCCTTGTTTGTTGTTTGTCATTTGTTGATACTATATTACACGTTCATAGTTCATGCTTTACAAAATACCAAAAAGTGAAATTTGTTGTTTTTCTGCTTTTCAGATCTTGTAGAGTTGTAAAAAAGAATCGCAATTAATTTAAAAAAATAAAAAAATTGATTAACTTCGTTTATTGATAAAATTCAACGTTAAATTTAATGTCAAATTTAAAAATTCGCCATCAATTTAACGTCTCCCGATATGACGTCGTTTTCGAATTCGACGTGAACGACCCAAAATATTCGACGTTGTACGCTATTTTTGTACTAGTGAAATAACACAGAAGTTAAGCAGTTGAAGAAATTGTTTCACCCATATAAGTTCACATGTTAGTGATGTTGTCGCCCTATACTTGGCTTCAGCGGTTGATCGAACTACCACATTCTGTTTCTTACTTTTCTACGAAATAATGTTTTCTCCCCGAAAAACAAACCTATAGCCTAATCTGCATCACAATACCTAGAGATCTGAATGCTTCATTTAACAATCCTTGTCCGGGAGCCTTTTTGACATACCTTAGAATGCGAATGAGATATTCCAATGGTCAACACATGGAGCCTGCATGAAATGACTAACCACTCCAACTGCAAAGGATAGATCTGGCCTTGTAATAGTGAGATAAATCAGTTTTCCAACTAGCCTCCTATACCTCTCTTAATAGGAGAATAATTCACCTTATTTTGTCCTTAATTTCTGTTTTGAGTCCATGGGATTATCTATCGGTCTGCAATCAATCATGTTTGTTTGTAATATATTAAGAGCATACTTCCTTTGGAAGATTACAACTACATCTTTTGATCATGCTACTTTAATGTGTAAGAAGTATTTGAGACTTTCAAGATCATTGGTTTGAAAATGTCTACATAAGTATTCTTTCAGCTGAGATATTCCAACAACATTATTTCTTATAATGACAATATCATTAACATATACTATTAATTAAATACATTTCCCAAGAGAAGAATGACAGTAAAAAACTTAATGGTCTACTTCACTGCGTTTTAGTCCAAATTTTTGAATAATGGAGCTAAAATTTCCAAACCAAGCAATGGTAATTGCTTGAGGCCATATAAAGATCGATACAATTTGGATACCATATATCAGACTCCCCCTAGCAACAAACTCAGGGTTTGCTCCATATAAATTTCTTCTTCAAGATCATCATGTAAGACATTATTGATATGCAATTAATGAAGTGACCACTTATGAATGACGGTCATGACAAAAAAGAAGTGAATAGTAATCATCTTAGTTACAAGAGAAAAAGTGTTACAATAATTAAGACCATAAACTTAAGTGTAAACCTTTTATAACAAACTAGCTTTGAGCCGATTAATTTCACCATCAAAATCGATTTTAACTACATACATTTGATACAAAGTACATTATAAATAAAGTAAAATGTAACGAGGTAAATATTCTAATAATTATATAACTAAAAAAAATGCAACTGCAGTTGTTTCGGTAGATACTTTTAGGGACCGAGAGACTAACCTGCTAACGCGTCTGGGCCGCTCGCTCGCTTCCAAACTCCTCCTGTTGGCCGATCGGTGTTGGCGCAAACCGATCGGTCTCCTTCTTGACGAGGGGGATGTACCTGCAAAAGGTACTCCGACGCCCAAGTTAGGCGTGTGATTTGAAGAGCCTCGGCTCTTGGTTGAATATTTAGTGAAGGGTTATCACTATTGAGTATTTGAGAGTCATGTAGAGTAAGTTGAACGTACCTGGCCTTTGGCCCTGGCTTTGTATTTATAATTTACCTCATGGATCCTAAGCTGATATAAGCCCAATAAAATATAAACAGAATAAGATATAAACAGATTACCTGAATATCTGGTTGGTTGTTTGTAACCGTTCGGTTAATATTTTATACCTATACATGCCCCCCAAGTCCGAGTTAAGCGGTCGGCTTTAGCCGTGGTTAACTATAGGACTGATGAGTTTGAGGGAGGCTGCGTTGGCGGAACTGAAAGCGTTTTACCGCTCGACCTTCAATAGTAACCGAGCGGAATTTACCGCTCGGTCTTCGACATTTGTCGAGAGGGTTTTACCTCTCGACCTTCGACAGTAACCGAGTGGGATTTACCGCTCGTCCTTCAACAGGAACCGAGAGGAATTTACCTCTCGGTCTTCGACATTAACCGAGAGGGCTTTACCTCTCGACCTTCTACATTAACCGAGAGGGATTTACCTCTCGACCCTCGACATTAACCGAGAGGGATTTACCTCTCGACCCTCGACATTAACCGAGAGGGATTTACCTCTCGACCTTCAATATTAACCGAGAGGGATTTACCTCTCGTCCTTCAACATTAACCGAGAGGGATTTACCTCTCGACCTTCGACTTTAACCGAGAGGGGTTTACCTCTCGACCTTCGACTTTAACCGAGAGGGGTTTACCTCTCGACCTTAGACTTTAACCGAGAGGGGTTTACCTCTCGACCTTCGACTTTAACCGAGAGGGGTTTACCTCTCGACCTTCGAC